TATAAGGTTGTCATCAATTTCATTATAGGGGAAGGACATTAAAGGTAACCTCTCCACTATAGCTTAGATTGTTAGTTAGTTGGGGTCATCCTCGTAGATCTCTGGGCATTTCCCTAGTGCCAGATTTCTCTGTATACATATAATGGCTCCTTCTATTTGGTGTCTCTTTTCTTGCTCTCCTCTATTCTTTCCCTGACTCAATCTTCCTGTTCCCTCATCCCCTCCTCTTCTCTCCTCTTCTTCTCTTCTCTTTCTCCTAACTCCTTCTCCCTGCCCCGCATGCTCCCAATTTGCTCTGGAGAACTTGTCCCTTCTGCGGGGGAACATGTATGTCTCTTTCAGGGTTCTCCTTGTTTTCGAGCTTTTCTGGTGGTGTGGACCGTAGGCTGGTGATCCTTTGCTCCATGTCTAATATCCATATTTGAGTGAGTGCATACTATGTTCCTCTTTTTGTGACTGGGTTACCTCACTCAACATGGTTTCTTCTAGTTCCATCCATTTGCCTGCGAATTTCAAGATTCCATTTTTCTTTTCAGGGCGAAGTTTTCCTAGGGAGAGGATTTCCAGGGTGGGGATTGGTCAGATTTCAGTTCCTGAGGTCAGACTGGCTGGATCTCCTGCTCAGGGATTGGTTAGTCTTTGCAGAGGTTTAGGGTCAGATTTGGCTCCCGTTAAAGGGTCAAAGTGGGCTTCTTTGGCTCTGCTCAGGAGTGTTTGGTTGGTCCCTTTTCCCTACAGTTAAGACAGACACTAATATAAAACTTTCTCTAAGCATTGCAGCTCAGATGGAAATGGATTCTGGCAGTCAGGAGTCAAGGAATATCACAAAGTAACTGTAAGCAACAGCAGCTTACAGCCCTGCTCTGGGAAAAGTTTTCTCAATGTAACAGCTCTGATCCTACAGGGGTAGGTTTCCCAGCTTAGTTGTTACAGTTCTGCTCAGGGCTCTGGGAGTTTAATAACTGCTCCCCTAGGGGAAGGATTCCCCAGCAAAAGCATTACACTTTTGCTCCGCTCTGCTCCAGGGAAACCGTTCCTTCTCTGTTCTGCTCCATTCTGGTTTTAGATGCTCTCATCTCACCCATACCATATTCAAGAGATTTATTGCCATGGAAGAATCCAGGAGGGGGCAGCCTTCTCCAGACTGGAAAAGGGCAGAGATTTTCGGGGTGGACATTGGTCAGTTTTAAATCCCTGAGCTTGGAGAAGTTCAGGGATTGGCTGGTTTCATGCTCACTGATTGGTTGGTTTCCTGCTCAGGGATTGGTTGTTTCTTTTGTGCTGAGTTTGGTCAGGGACAGAGTGTGTTTCATTTACTCTGGTTTCAGGACCAAAGTGTGTTTCTTTCACTGGTCCTTTTCAACCTTTTGGCTCTGGTTTTTGAGCCAAGGTCTATTTCTTTCACTGGCTCTGATACTAGGAACAAAATGTGTTTCTTTGGCTCCAGTTTCAGGGTCAGGGTACATTTCTTTGACTTTGGTTTCAGGGGCAAATTGTGTTTCTTTGGCTGTACTCAGGATGTGTTCCCTTGGCTAGCAATTTTTCCCTACAGCTAAGACAGACACTAGCATAACAAATTCTATAAACATTGCAGCTCAGATGGAAAGGGATCCTGGCAGTCAGGAGTCAAGGAATACCAAAAGTCACACTAAGCTTAGCAGTTTATACCCATGCTCCCAGGAAGGTTTCCCCAAAGTAACAGCAATGGTCTGTTAGGGCAGTATATCCTACCAAAGTTGTTACAGTTCTGCTAAGGTCTCCAGGAGTTTAATGACTCTTCTCTACTAGGAGGTTTCCCCAGTGAAATCGCAAAACGGTTACACCTCTGCTCTGCTCCATTCTACCAAGAGGTTTATTGGCAGGAAGGTATCCAGAACTGGGTTGCATCCTCCAGGGCGGAAAGAACAAAGATTTTCAGGGTGGGGATTGGTCCGATTTTAATCCCTGAGCTTGGACAGGCTCAGCGATTGGCTGGTTTCCCGCTCAACGATTGGCTGGCTTTGTGATCACTGATTGGGTGGATTTTTTGCAGAGTTAGTCAAGGGTAGAGTATGTATCTTTGGCTCTGGTTTGAGGACCAAAGTGTGTTTCTTTCACAGGTTCTTTTTGGCTTTTTGGCTCTGGTTTGAGGGCCAGGGTCTATTTCTTTCACTGGCTCTGATTCTAGGGTCAAAGTCTGTTTCTTTGCCTCTAGTTGCAGGGCCAGTGAGTTTCTTTGGTTCTGCTCAGGGTGGTTTCCTTTGGTTCTGCTTAGGGCATGTTATTTTGGCAGGGCCTTGTCCCCTACAGATAAGACAGACACTAATATAAAAAATTTTCTAAGCATTGCAGCTCAGATGGGAAGGGATCCTGGCAGTCAGGAGACAAGGAATACTACAAAGTAACTGTAAGTTTAGCAGCTTATAACCCTGCTCCAGGGGAAGGTTTTCCCAGTGTAACAGCTCTTCTCTGGCAGGGGAGGGTTTCCAAGCAAAGCTGTTACAGTTCTGCACAGGTCCCCCCCCCACTTCCAGTTTGATCTGCTCCCTAGGAGATGGTTTCCCCAGCTAAAGTGGTATATCCCTGGTCTGTGTGGCTCCAAGGAAAGTTATTTCTTCTCTGTTCTGCTCCCTTCAGGTAATATATAGTCTCCTCTCACCCAAAACACGTTCAAAAATTTCATTGGCAGAGGATAATTCAGGACCTGGCTGCCTCCTTCAGGTTGGAAAGAGCAGAGATTTGCACTGTGGGGATTGGTCAGATTTGAATCCCTGAGCTTGGACAAGATCAGTGATTCGCTGGTTTTGTGCTCACTGATTGGGTGTCTTTTCTGCAGAGTTAGTCAAGGGCAGAGTATGTATCTTTGGCTCTGGTTTCAGAGCCAATATGTGTTTCTTTTACAGGTCCATTTTAACGTTTTGGCTCTGGTTTTAGAGCCAGGGTCTATTTCTTTCACTGGCTCCGATTCTAGGGACAGTCTGTTTCTTTGCCTCTAGTTGCAGGGCCAGTGAGTTTCTTTGGTTCTGCTCAGGGTGGGTTTTTTTGGTTTTGCTCAGGTTATGTTTCTTTGACTGGCCCTTTTCCCCTATAGCTAAGATAAACACTAACATAAAGAAATTCTCTAAGCATTGCAGTGCAGATGGAAAGGGATCCTGGCTCTCAGGATACAAGGAATACCACACTCACCCTAAGCCTAGTAGTTTATGTCCCTGCTCTCAGGAAAAGGATTCCTCCATGTAACAGCTCTGCTCTGGCAGGGGAGGGTTTCCCAGCAAAGTTGTTACAGTTCTGCTCAGGACCCTCAAACTTTAACAACTCTGCTCTCTAGGGAAAGGTTCCCAGCAAAAACACAAAAATGCTCTCCTCTGCCCCAGGGAAAGTTGATCCTTCTCTATTCTTTTCCATTCTGGCTTTAGATGGTCTCATCTCATCCAAACCCCATTCAAGAGATTTATTGTAAGGGCAGAATCCAGGAGGGGGCTGTCTCCTCCTGGGTGAAAAAAAAAAAAAGAGCAGAGACTTTCATGGTGGGGATTGGTCAGATTTGAATTCCTAAGCTTGGAGAAGTTCAGGGATTGGTTGGTTGTGTTTATTTGACTATGCTTCCAGGGCCAAAATTTGTTTCTTTCACTGTCCCTGGTTTCAGGGCCAAAATACATTTATTTTAGTGGCTCATTTTAACCTTTTGGTGCTGGTTTCAGGGCCAGAGTGTGTGGTTGTTGTTCCCCCCCTCTGGTTTTAGGGTCAAAGTGTGTTTCTTTTGCTAGTCCCTTTACCCCACAAATTGTCAAATGTCAATAGAGCACAAAATGAGAAGCCACACTGTATTCTGTAACTGTACATGTAAAAGGTAAAGCTTGGAGTTTGCCAGGTATTAGGCCACATGGCATGGAACTTTCAGAAGCAGCTGCTCTTTTCTTCCTTCAGTTAGGGAGGAGTAGGATGTTGCTGTGAGACAGCTATAGTTTGGGCAGTAATCTACAGCAGTAGGAAGAGGTTATCACCCTCATAAAGCTTTGTAGTGAAACTTTATACCACCTTAAAAATATTTTGATGGAGAGGGGGCTGAATCAATAAAGGGTTTGTTCTGAAAAAGTGAGGATCCAAGCTTGGATCCCTAGCGCCCACATAAAATGTCCAGGCATGGTGGCACATGCATGTATCCTAATTCTTTGAAAGCAATGACAGAAGGTTCTCTGGTAAGCTGTTCTTGCCAAATTGGTGCACTCGAGGTTCAGTGAGATACCCTATTTAAAAAAAAAATAAGTTGGGGACTTCTAGGAGACAACCAGCATTGATTTCTACCCTCTACAAGTATATACATGCATTCACACACACATATGCATGGACACAAACATAAACATACCACCCCCATACACACCAAAAAAATTGTGGGATGGAGCATGCGAGTCTGATCATACACTTGTTTGGCATACAGAAGGCCTGGGTTCAGCCTGTAGCTTAGCAAAAAGTAGTTTTGGAAAGAGAGAAACAACTTAATCATCTAGTAGGTAATAAAATGCAAAGTTTGGGAATAAAGCAAAAGCTCATCAGAGGACCAAGGTTCAGTTCCTGGCCCCCACATCAACTGACTCAAATTGCCTGTAACTACAGGAGATCCAATGTCCTCTTCTGGCCACTGTGGGTACATGGGCACATGCATGCATATACTCACGAATGCACGTTTTTAAAATGCAAAGATTTTATGATAAAAATAGAATGCAATACATTTTTAAGCCCTCTTTCCACATTGTCCATGACATTTAATTGTCAGTTTTTGAATGTTTGGATTTTACTGTCACCTATGTACCACAGAGGTGACTATCAAGAGAAATAAATAAAAATTTTGATTTAAGGTTGCAGAGTTATTAATTTCCTAAGGGAATGTCTGTTCTTAGAAATCATCAAACGTATTTCCTGACAGGTGAGTTTCTTGTGGTTCTGTGTCAGAACAAACCAGGAAAACCCTTGCTGAGACATTGAAATGGTCAGCCTAACTTCATCTTGTCTCCTTTTGCTAGTTTCTTCCATCAGCATCCAGTTGTCCTCAGCATGGAGGAACAGAGCAACTCTTCTGGGAAGGAGCTTCAACACAGGACACGAGCAGAAGTTCCAGGAATGAAAAGTTGGCACTCCCAGGCCTATACCCTTGGGGCCATTTCCAACTTTATGTCTACTTTTCTGACCTTTCCTATCTATAAGGTTGTGTTCCGGCAGCAGATACATGCTATGGCAGTGTCAGAGGCTGTGCGACAGCTTTGGCATGAAGGCCCTCAGTACTTTTACCGGGGCATCTACCCCCCTCTTCTCTCCAAGACGCTGCAAGGGACTCTGCTGTTTGGCACTTATGATAGTCTGCTGTGCTTTCTCTCCCCGGTTGGGCCACACTCCCTGGGACAGCGTTGGACTGCAGGGCTCATGTCTGGTGTGGTAGAAGCTGTGGCACTCAGTCCCTTTGAAAGAGTACAAAATGTGCTTCAGGATGCTCGCAAGCAAGCTTGCTTCCCTAGTACCTTCAGCATTCTCAAGGAATTCAATTCTTATGGGCTTTGGGGGCGGCTGTCCCTAGGCTATTATCGTGGTTTCTGGCCAATCCTTGTCAGAAACAGCCTGGGAAGTGCTCTCTATTTCTCCTTCAAGGATCCTATCCAGGATGGCTTGGCAAGGCAAGGCCTGCCCCATTGGGTTCCTGCTTTGGTTTCTGGTAGTGTCAATGGAACAATCACCTGTCTGGTCCTGTATCCGCTGATTGTGCTGGTTGCCAATATGCAGTCTCATATTGGATGGCAGAGAATGCCAAGCCTATGGGCCTCAGCACAAGATGTGTGGGACACTCGAGGTCGAAAAATACTCCTGATTTATAGGGGAGGATCTCTGATTGTTCTCAGGTCCAGTGTGACATGGGGCCTCACTACTGCTATCCATGACTTCTTGCAGAGAAAGGCTCACAGCAAGAGAGAGATGAAAGACTGATTTAATGAAGTATGACCATGGCATCTTTGTTCTTAGTCTTCACTCATTGGTTGTGTATAGTATATTTCTTTGCCTTGGTTACCTAATACAACCATTATTTAGTACCTGTAAGCTGTCACTGCATGGGAGAAGCTCCTAACTTTTCACCTGTTAGCCTATCAGGATTCCTTAGTCAAAGAAAGAATTGCCTCCCTGGTCTATACACAGCTTCAGCAGCCTCAGAACCTGGAGCCTTTAACAAGCTGTAGCCCAGATTAAATGTAATTCCTTTAAGGAACTTTTTTAATAAGAGGAAACTTTAAAAGAAGACCCTACTTTGGTACTGTGAGTCTGAGATCCTTCTCTGTGGCCTCCTGACTAAGCTGAGTGGAACTCCAATTTCAACAAACTGTATTAGACTTCAAGGAAAACGTTGGAGATCCCTACATTTTCCTGACATTGCTCACTGCCTCCACCACAGCCACTCTCACTTCAAGCTATGGGTCCCACTTTCAGATACCTGCTCTGATTACAAATCCTCCATTAGGCCCACTTCAACTCATCGGGTGCCATAAGAACTGATGATGATGATGGAGATGGGAATGAGAAGAAATTTGGTGCCTGGATAGAAAGAATAAAGGCTTTGAAGCAAGAGTTTTAATTAATTTAATTACATGGCAAATAGAGAAAAATATTAATGGTGTTATCTGTTAGGATAAATATCCTAATATATATTTGCAGTGCTTTTCTCTCCCCAAACATTCCATGATCTTACCCAAAGTCATACTCTGCCACATACTGTCTCTCCACTTGCACTAAAGGCCTCCAATTTCCAAAAGTCAGGCTCCAATGCTACTGTTCTATGGAGCCCCTTTCTCTATATTCCCCTACCTGAATGTGACATTAGTTTTGTGAAGACCCCCCTTCCAACATGCACTGATTCCATTAAGTCACTGAATCCATGTGGCCCTATGTTCTTGCTGTTCTTCAATACCTCCTACTAGACTGTAAACTTCTTGAAAGCAGGGATTCTTGTATGCATTTTAAAATCCTCCATTGTGCCTGGGTGCTCAATAAAGTTGGTGAATTACTGAATTATCAAGCTGTGATATGGTCTATATTCTCAGGGTGCTATCCCTATTACATGAAGATAATGTTACTGACTCATTGTCAACAAGACACAAGCCTTTGGGATGTGTTTGTTTTCTTTTAAGAGTGGATTTAGTTTTGTGCTAATGATGCCAATGATAACAATAACAACAATAATAAAATTACCTTCAACCAGAATATTTTGGTAAGTTTGTGTTATTTACAGCATGCTGCCTAGTATAAGAATCTTAGCACCAAGATTTCACAAACAGAATCACATTGCATAGCTGTTCTACTCCTTTCATCTTTAGAATTTTTAGTATTTTCAAGATGGCATGTGTTTCAGCTTTTGCTTCATACATGATATCATGATAAATTCCACTACTTACTCCTCCTCACTGAACCAAAGTTGTCCTTTATAATAACCCATCTGACTAGGAATGAGAATTCATCCAGATACTATAGACATTAAAGTCAGGATTGTTAGGTCTTAAGAATGCTAGTCTTTGCCAAGAAGGTGAATGGAAAACAGCCTTCCTGAAGTGCTGTAGATGAACTTTCACACAGTGGATGAGAGTGGGCTGGAACAGTCTTCTTAGACTTTCTTACCTGTAGATTCTACATCCTTGCATTCAACAATTATGGCCAAAAATATTTTGGGGGAGGATTACATATGTATTGAACATGTGCAACTTTTTTGTTATTCATCCAAACACAGAACACTTAACATTGTATTAGATATTATAAATTAACTAGAAATGATTTAAAATACATGGGACAGAGCAGGGCATGGTGGCTCATAGCTGTAATCCTTACTAGGGATGTGGGGGTGGGAGGATAAGGTGTTCAGGGACTCCGTAGCTACATAGTTCCAGGACAGCCTGGGCTGTATATGGCTGTGACAAGTTCTCCTCCCTCCCTACAAAATAAAAAAAAAGAATCTAAATAAAACTAAAACAAATGTTTCATGCAAACAGAATAATACAATTTCTGAAAATACAGGACTTTAGCAGTGACTGGCTTTGGTATTCTCTGTTTTTTTGTTTCTAAAACCCTTTTTTAAGCTTTTGTTTAATTTTAAGTGTAAGTTTTTAGCCACGTTGGGTGCCATTTGTAAGGAGTACAGTTTTTCCACCCGCCGCCACTCTTGTCCGGCAGCTGCGCCAGCCCCAAATAATACACAGAGACTCTGTATTAGATATTATACTGTTGGCCAGTTACTACTTTCTTATCGGCTAGCTCTGTCTTAAGTATTAACCCATTTCTGCTGATCTATGTATTTCTCTTACCGGGGAGCCGGCAGCATACTGCTTTCTTCAGATTCTCCATCTTGACTCCTCCCTACTACTTCCTATTTCCTCCTTGTCTCCTAGTCCCTCCTATCTTCCTTTCCTATTGGCCAACAGTGCTTTATTATTAACCAGTATGAGAAACATATATACATAATGGCATCTCCCATCATCTAAATAAAACTAAAATAAATGTTTCATGCAAACAGAATAATAAAATTTCTGAAAATACAGGACTTTAGCAGTGACTGGCTTTGGTATTCCCAGAGAATCCTGGAACCATGAATACCAATGGACATCAATGCTTATCCACTCAAAGACGTGCATTACATACTCAGACAAAGAAAGGAAAATTAGAAGAGCAAGCTATGTAGTGCCCGTGCTACGATCTGTTCCACGAATTGGGCTAATGCTGAAATAAAGAGACAAGACAACAGGTCATTCGTTCAATGGCAATGTCGGAACGCCTAATGCTGAATGCCGTTTATTGAGGGGATGGAATGGGCTTAAATACTGACTTACAGCACAATGGAAAATAACAGGATTTTTAGGCTTAGCTCCTACCCATTAGGTATGTCTTATCACGAGGTGTGTGTTATCAAAATGGGAAGAGTACCAACAACAGCTTTGGGGAAAGGAGTTCCAGCCAACAGCTTCTGGCTTACTCACGGTGCCTCGGGGATCCATGCAGGGTCCTACACAGCTAGTTACGCTTATGTCTAAATTTACAGGAGAAAATATAGTTCACAATGGTGTGTAACTAACTGAAGAGTAATAATGAGCACTATCCCCCCATATTTTTATCCAAAAGACGCATTTACCTTCAAGTACATTGGCTTCACCAGTGGTACTGTGTCAATCCATATCCCTTTATTCTTTCTAACAATTTATTAGAAATAAATTTGAGCTTATAGATAACTTTCATGAATAAGGATTAAAGAACATATATATATATTCTTTCTCACATCAACATATTAACACTTTATCTCATTTGCTGTGTTATATTGCATGTATTATATCTATACACAGAGAAATATTTTTTTTTCAATCTGAGAATTGCATGCATCCACTTTTTTTTTTTTTTGAGGTAGAGCTTAGAGCTTCTCTGTGTAGCCCTGGCTATCTTAGAACTTGATCTATAGACTAAGCCACCCTCAAATTCAGAGATCCCCTTGCTTCTGCTTCCCAAGTGCAGCGATTAAAGGACTGCACCATAACACCTAAGCCATAATTCGTTTTCAATGTGTCTAGATATGATATTCATATATTCAAGTTCTTCTTAAAAAGACTACCTTTTATCTCTATGATAATTCTATAAGACTATAGTTCAGTGATAGAGCCCTTACCTTGCATCATCGAGGACATTGCCAGCACCACAAAATATATAAATACATAAAAATGTAGCTATTGCCAAATAATTTTTGACCCAAGGTCTCTAGCCCAGGCCAGCCTTGAACTACTTATATTGACAAAGATGACCTTTAACTTCTGATTTTCCTACCTCCATCTCTCAAGTTCTGGATTGCAAGTGTGCCCCACCATGCCCCATTTATATGGTTCTGAAGATGCAACCCAGACCCTTGCATATGCCTGGCAAGCACTTTAACTGAGTTACAGCCCCAGTCCTGACTGCAAAATATTATGAAATGAAAACTCACATAATGTTTTAATACTAATTTGTAGTAATTTTTAAAATTTATTCTAATTGCTTTACTCATACTTAAGTTTTACATGTGTATATTGGAGTTTGAAGCTGTAGAATTATAAACAAAGATTTGCCACCAAAGCGTGGCATAATTTATATGCTTTAGAAAATATTGGTTTACATAAAAACTTAGGCAGTGTTGTAAAATTACAGAGACCTATCAATTTTTCCCATTTAAACCTTTTCAGTAAAATATAAGACTGAAATTATTCTGTTGGTAACATTAATATTTCATTGTGTGATGATAATCTAGTCATTTTTATAATATTTGAAAAACTACTTTTAAGACTTGAGACCAACAAAATAAGGAGTTAATAAATATGTGTTTAAAGATTTAGTAAATCTAGAGTTTAACAGCAACATACAAATAGGTTAAAATAAACAAAAATATATAAAATATGATTCACCCATAAAGAATTGCAACATGTGTACACAAACACAGGTGTCTCTGGGTTATTTGTCTAAGAAATGAATTACTGGTTTGTGGAGTGTGCACACTTTAAATTTAACTGAATGCTGTCTAACGTTTTCTAACAGCATGCACACACATATTTCTACCTTTACAATCCATGTTCAGCAGTTTTTGTTGCGCCACCTGCAGGCCAATACTTGGTAGTACCTGACATTTTTCCAACCCAGTGGAGCTAAAATTGAAGTCCCTGCTCTGACATTTCCGATTATTAATACTGTTGGGCATATTTTCAAATGCCGGTTGGACGTTATGATTTATTCTTTTGTGACGCATTTATTCAAAGAATTTGACGTTTATCCTGTTGTATTTTGTCACTTTTTCAAATTTACTAAGGGGAGCTATTTGTTCTAATTTCAGTCTTTTGTCTTTTATGTATGTTGCACACAACCTTCCTCTCTTGCTCACTTATTTTTCATTGCCTTTATGTTTTCTACTAATGGTTATAGTTTGTCACATTATTACTCTGAAGTTAGGGATTGATTTGTTTCCCCAAAGAAATCCTTCTTTGAATATATATTCTTAGTTTTACCTTTCACACTTATGTCTCCAATATACTCAGAATTATTTTTGTGTAAAATGTAAGGACACTGGGTAGAGACAGAGTGCTTTCTTTGCATGTTCAAGGCCTAGCATGGAAACGCTATGAGACTAGAGGTCCATTTTCATATTTCATTTATGATGGAATCACAGTAAATAGAAAACATTTGTATATTCTTAGGATAGTTTGCAGCCTTGCTGTTCTGTTCCACTGTTTCACATGTCTTAAGTTTGTGCCTTCGTATCATTGCCTTATTACAGTAGCTTTAAAAGGATGTCTTGATGTCTTGGGGTCTATTAGGGAGAATCTCCACACGTTATTCTTGTTCCTCCAGAGTTTAACTCTTCTCACTATCTACAAAAACAAGCACAGAGATTTCATTTTCCCCCCAAAGATACTGCAACTTTAATTTTACCGTAAGTAGCTAAATGTTTAAGGGCTATGGATCCAGTTCAGTGATGAAACATCCATAGCCCAGCACTCAAATGACCCTCTGTTCAATCTTCAACACCATGACAAAGAAACAGAAACTATTAGTGTAAACAGGTTGGAGAATCTAATTTTAATGTTTCTCAAAGTTTCATATTATTTGGTTGTGTGTGTGTGTGTGCATGCGTGTGTGCATAACACACTTATTAAAATATATCTGCATGTGTGTGCATGTGTTCATGTATGCATAGGCAGTGTACTTGTGTGGAGGCCAGAGGACAACAAATGCCATCCACCTTATTTATGTTTCTAAGACATGGTCTCATGTTGGCCTAGCATTTATCAAGTAGCTTAGGGTGGCTAGCTGGCCGGTGAGCCGAGAGACCAGCCTACATGGTACCAAGATGAAAGGTGTATGGCTTTTTAATGTGTGGTCCACATGCTTCTCCAGTAAGTACTTACTGAGCCATCACCCCAACCCCTTCCTCACAACAAAACAAGGTTTTGGTTTTATTAGTTGCTTAAGTTTTCTCTCTCCTCTGGTGTGTGCATGGGGGTTGGTTAGGGTTGAATGTCTTATTGATCCCCACCTTACTTTTCTGAGACAGCATCTCCAAGTAAACCTAGACCCCCCTCCAATTTGAATAGACTAGTTTTTGAAGCAAACCTTCAGGATTGCCTGTCTCTCCTACCAGCAGTGCTGTTACTGATGTGACGTGCCCCATGTGACCTTTTTACATGGCTCTAGGGATCTGAACTCAGCTC